TAAAAATAAAACTCCTAGAAAATTAAGAATAAAAGGGAATTTCCTGAACCTGGTGAAAAGCATTTACAACCAGCTACAATTAACATCATACTTAAAGGTGAAAAACTGAACATTTTCTCCCTAAGATCAAAAATACGGCAAGTAGGTCCATTCTCAACACCTCTAATTCAACATGGACTAAAGTTTCAGTCGGTGCAATAGGCAAAAAAAAATTTAATAAAATAACATAAGATATAAATATATGCAGATTGGAAAGGAAAAAGTAAATAATTTGCAGACAATATGATCATACATGTAGATAATTCTAAGGAATCTACAAAAGAGCTACTAGAACTAATAAGTGAACTTAGTAAGTCACAGGATATAATGTCAATATACAAAAATGAGCTGTATTTCTAAATGCTAGCAACAAAAAAATAGAAAATGAAATTAAAAATACCATTTAAAACTACATAAAAAACATGAAATATTTAACAGATAAATGTAACAAAATATATGGAAGACCTTTACACCAAAAATCACAAAACATTGCTAAGAGATACTAAAGAAGATTAGATAAATGGAACAATGTATCATGTTCATGGACTGGAAGACGCAATGTAGTTAGGATGTCAATTCTCCACAAATTGATATAATTCTAATCAATATCTCAGCAGGCCTTTTTAAAAATTGATAAGCTGATTCTAAAGTTTATATAGAGATGTATATAAGGATCTAGAATATCAAAACAACTCCAAAAAAGAATAAAGATAGAGGACTTAACACTACTTAACTTCAAGACTATTACCCTACAATAATCAATCAAGATCATGTGATATTCACTTACATCAATGGAAAAGAATGTCAATAGACAGACTAACACATATTGGTCAATATATTCACAACAAATATATCTGACAAAGGACCAGTGTTCAGAATATATAAAGAACTTCTACACTCAACAATAAAAAGACAAACAACCCTATTAAAACATGGGCATTTGAACAAGCACTTCACAAAAGAAATACAAATAGCCAATAAGCACATGAAGATTTTCATCACTAGTTATCAGGGAAATACAAAGTAAAATCATAATAAGATAACACCACACATTCACTAGAATGGCTAAAATTCAAAGGACTGACAATATCAAGTGTAGGTGAGGAGTGGAGCAACTAGAATTCTCATGTTTGCTGGGTGAGAATTTAAAATGGTATCACTACTTTGAAAAACCATTTCTCAGTTTCCTATAAGGTAAACATACAATCTGGCAATTTCCACTCCCAGGTATTTACCCAGAAGAAATAAAACTATGCATCCACAAAAAGACTTGTACATCACAGTAGTTTTATTCATAATAGCCTCAAACTAGAAACAACCCAAATGTCCATCAACAGATAAATGGATAAACAAATTGTGGTATACCCATACAATGGAATATTACTTGGTCTTTCCTTCCAAAAAAAGAAAAGTTTAAAGAGAAACAGGAAAATTTCATAATATTGACTGGTTAACATCACTAGTAATAAGACTTATGAACATTATGTACCCTGGTATTATGCTCTGAAAAGGGCACATCACTTCTGTGGTATTTTTCCCAAATATTCATAATACATGCATCCATTCACGAAAATATATCAGACAAACCCAAACTGTGGAACATTCTACAAAAATACATAACCAGTACTCTTCAAAAGCATCAAAGCAATGGAAGACAGGAAAGACTTAGGAACTGTTAACAGAAAAGACAAAGGAAATATGACAACTAAATGCAATGTGGGATTCTGGATTGGATCCTGGATTGGAATAAAGGACTTTAGTGGGAAAACCAGTAAAAACTAAATAAAGTCTAAAGTTCAATTAACAGTACTACACTAAATGTTAATTTCTTAGTTTTTATAATTGTACTATGCTCAACTATGGTCAAGTAAGATGTTACCATTAAGAGAGAATAAAGGCAAACTATTATTTTTGCACCTCTTCCATAGGTCTAAAATTATTTCAAAATAAGAAGTTAAAAAAAAATGTTAGGTGGGGGGTGGCCCAGTGGCGTAGTGGTTAAGTTCGCACACTCCACTTTGGTGGTCCAGGGTTTGCAGGTTTGGATCCCGGGCGCAGACCTACACACTGCTTATCAAGCCATTCTGTGGCAGCGTCCTATACAAATAGAGGAAGATTGGCACAGATGTTAGCTCAGGGACAATCTTCCTCAAGCAAAACAAGGAAGATTGGCACAGATGTTAGCTCAGGGACAATATTCCTCACCAAAAATTAATTAATTAATTAATTAAATAAATAAATTGCTCTGAGAGAATGATGTACCAAGGCGTCAGGATTGCGCAGAAAGACAATGTCTCAGAGAAGGCTTCAGAAAGAATACAGACCCTTTTCAAGAACTTACCCTGTGAGGCTATTACACTTATTCCAGGAATATTTATCCCAAATACTCAAAGCTTTCATAAAACACTTCTTTTAGTCTTGTCTCTGTACTTCATGGCACGTTCTTCTGATGAAAAGTCCTTAGCACTTAAGGGTGTGGTTGGTTTTTAAAAAACCAAAAGTTATTCATAGATAAATTTAATGAATACGATTTTGGAAAACAGGTGAGAGTATAAAGTATAGTTTTCCTATGTGCTTTACAAAGTGAAGGCAACACCACAAAGAAGAGTTACCATGTTTTTCATCCAACATAGAATTGTTGGGATAATGCATAGTCTCTCAAGGGGACTACTTTAAAGGGCTTTGCCCTTTCGAGTGCTTAAGTTCTGGTTTGTTTGTTTAAGGGGGGAAGCTTATTACTTTGAAATTATACCTCAGTATAAATTGTCATTATTCAAAATGAGAATTGAAACTTATTATGTACATATATATACAGGTATGCTTAGGTTTGAATCTTAGTTCAGCTATATCATAGCTAAATGTCCTTGGACAAAGTCCTTAATGTCTTAGTGTCATCTGTAGAATGAAGACAATAATAGTAGTATCTGCCTCATAGAGTTTTTGTAAATATTAAATAAGTGGTGTGAATGAGATAATCCATGTATCACATGTAATCCATGAATGTAAAACTCTTAGAACAGGGCTTGGCATATAATAAGCACTTAATAAATGTTAATAGTCACTATTATATTTACATATAAGCAAAGTATATTAGTGTCTAGACTAAGAGTAAGTATAAAATATGAAGTGAGATTACAAAAAAACAAAAAAGCAAATAAAAAGAAGAAACCATAAGGTATCTTTAGAGTCTAGAGACTAAGATCCAGTGGCTTTTTCACTAAACAAGAGAATTCATTTTTTCTTTATTCTGTGAGAATATATAGTTATTTCAACGCTCAGTAACAAAATGTGCCAGGCACATTACAAGTTTTCAATAAACACTTATTGAATTGAAGTATTTCAATACAATGAGATTGTCTTAATAACCAAGGGGAAAAAGTTTGTCACTTTTTGATCCTATTAACTTCTATTTCTGCTTTAGAAAATATCTCTTTCAGCTACTGAACTGCCTCACCATTCCTTTCCCCAGAGAACTAGAATTCTAGAAAGGAGAAAGATTGTAGGATTTTCTCCCAATTTGGACAGCAAGATCTACACTGAGAAAGTACAGTGCTTCCACCTGCTTTCTGACAAGCGCTCCTAAAAGTGTCTGTGTCCAATTAGGGAAATATAAAAGAATCAAAATGCAGGAAAAACAACTTTAAGGCAATAGAAAACCAAATAAATAACAGTATGGGGGGAAGAAAAGAGAAATTCAAATCAAGTCAGTTTATATTTTTAATATATAACTTGTTTGGTAAATATCATGGCCACATCTATGTGTCAAGTAACTATAAACTGCATGTGTTCATTTTTGTACATCTATATTATTCATTTATATTTGTAGCCTAAATTGAACATCAAATTGAGATTTGTCTAATTTGAGACAGAAGTCAGTTTTCTAATACTGTTATAAAAAAGGTTTCTGAAGATAAGTGAATTTATACATTTGAAAGTTTTTATGTACTTACAGTATTTTTTAGAGAAAATTTCTGAAAGATTCTTTTCTGAGTGTCATAGCTGTACACACGTGCATGCATACATATATGCACACATGTTCAACTCAGTCCTTCATCCCTACTACTTCTTAAATTAAATGACATTTTCACCAGACTGCAAATATTTTAATAAAAACTTCATAAGTTCTGAAAATGTTGCAGCTATTGACTAATACATTGAATATTTCAAATGTATCTCAGAGATAGGAAGGGAAAAACAGCACAGTGATGATGTTTAAGGTCTATTTTATAATGAACAAAGCTAATACCTCTAGTTTTTAAAAAGTCTTTACATAGGATGTGTGCAATCATTTTGATGCAAAACGAACACATTTTCCATTTGTGTTAAGAATATCATCAAAATTTTTAACTGATAAAAGTATACCTTGTGGTAGAGTAAGCGATACAAAATTCCACCCCTGAAGAACAGCTTAAGACAGTAAAAGGGCCCAAATATATACAGTAATATATAACTTCACCATTATCATTTCTTTTTTGTGTGTGTGTGAGGAAGATCAGCCCTGAGCTAACATCTGATGCCAACCCTCCTTTTTTTCTTTTTTTTGTTGCTGAGGAAGATTAGCCCTGGGCTAACATCCGTGCCCATCTTCCTCTACTTTTATATGGGACGCCGCCACAGCATAGCTTGACAAGCGGTGCATCAGTGCGCGCCTGGGATCCAAGCCTGCAAACCCCAGGCCACCAAAGCGGAGCACACGCACTTAACTGCTGCACCACCGAGCCAGCCCCTACCATATCATTGCTTACCAGGGTCTCTAAAATAATTTAGCACTGTTCTGCCAATCTAAATCTCAAGGATATCTGGTAATTTCAGTAAACACAAATCTCAATGGAAGCAGCTTGATAACAAGAGCTTCTGGCGGCTCTTGATTAAATCAACAAGTGTTTATTAATTGCCTTCTATGGACCCCTGGTGTTACATCCAAAGCAGTAATTCTTAAGCAATTGGAAAGTGCTACTCACCAGCAAGTGTATAATCCATATCAAAACCAAAACACTTTATTTTTTCCATGGCTAAACTTCGGTTCACAAACACCCTAAAGAAAAGAGTAAGAAATGATATCTCAATTAACAATGAAACAGAACAAAATTCTTATGTTTAATGTAATTATATGGCTATCTTTCTAGATCTTCTCATTTAAATACCAATATTAAGATTCACAACAAAAATTATTCAAGTCCTTCTTATACCATAAGTGAAATCAGATATTATACAAAAATAAGTGGATTTTTTTATCATGTCTTGGTATTAACAATGCCATGTACTCAAGATTTCAAAGAATCACTCTCCTTTTCTATGTCTGACCCCATAAAAGAAGTTTATTTCTGAGATTTTACAATTCATTCACTCATTCATTTGTAATTTATTTAATAAACAGAGGTTCACTTAAATCCTACCATATGCCAGATACGAAAGACATAAATATAAATAGATTCATTCAACAAACACTTACTGAGTGTCTACTATATGCCAGGTACTGCCATATGGCAGTGAACAAAAGAGTACCTGCCCTCATGGAACTTTTTGTTTTTTTTTTAAAGATTTTATTTATTTATTTATTTTCCCCCCAAAGCCCCAGTAAATAGTTGTATGTCATAGCTGCATATCCTTCTAGTTGCTGCATGTGGAACGCGGCCTCAGCATGGCCGGAGAAGCGGTGCGTCGGTTCCCGCCCGGGATCCAAACCTGGGCTGCCAGCAGCAGAGCGCGCGCACTTAACCGCTAAGCCACGGGACCGGCCCATGGAACTTTTAACTCACAATCTCTATTCTTGAGGAATTCAGCCTAGCAGGAGAGAGATTTATAAGCAAATAATTACAGCAATTCAGTAAATGCTATCAACTAACACGGAGGAGAGAGCACCAGTTGTCTAGAGACCAGTAAGATGTTTGAGCTGAATCTTAAACCATCAGAAGTTTTTCAGGACAAAGCAAGAAAGGCAATCCAGGCAGAATAACCAAGTAAGGACAAGGTTTATAGTGAACTATAAAACATTTATTGTGGCTGGACCTGAGGAGTTTTCTTTGGTTTTGCTTTTCTGTGTGTTTTTGCAAAAGGAGGTTTGGGGGGGGAACAATAAAAGCTATGAAGCTAAAATGGTTAGCAGGGACCAAAATCATGAAGACTTTGTATGCCATATTAGAGAGTCTGGACTTTATCTTGCAGGCAAGAACAAATTATCAGATTTTTTTTTTTTCCCTGAGGAAGATTCACCCTGAGCTAACATCCGCACCCATCTTCCTCTTTTTGTATGCGAGCTCTTGCCACAGCATGGCCACTGACAGACAAGTGGTATAGGTCTGTGCCCGGGAACTGAACCCAGGCCGCCAAAGCGGAGCGCACCAAACTTAACCACTAGGCCACTGGGGCTGGCCCTATCAGATTTGAGGAAATGAAATAATCAGATTCAAATTTCAGAAAGAGCACTATGAAGACAGGAAAAACTAAACATGTAATAGTATGGTAGATCATCACATGATGGTGTTTTGGGGTAAGTTTTAATCATCTCTAAAAATAAGGATACCCTTTCTATCTGATCCCCAGCTTGGTGGCCAAAATTACTAGATGGTTTAGCTTCTTATTAGCAAATCTTTTCCTTGCCTTCATTTTATAAGTAACTATGAGAAATAAGAATGCTACAAATCACCTAGGAAACTTGTTAAAAATAAGGATGCCTGAGCTGGGCTCCCCCATTAATGATCTAGTTCAATGAGTCTCCAAAGAGGAGTAACTGCACCAGGGGATGCAGAAGACTCCACTGAGATACAAGAAGAAAACATTAAATCTTCTTATATTTATTTCATTATTTAAAAATGTCTAATTTTTGTATGTTTTCTACTATATATAAATAAGCCCAGTAGTATAATTTATAAATAAGCACATACAGGGACGAATGTTCCATATTTTAACTGATGGAATACTCAAGAGTTTGGAAACCACTGATGTAGGTAATGACTTTTTTTTTTAAACTCTTCACCAACTCATATATTACTATTTTAAATTTTAATAGAAAACTTTCCCTCTCATCTCAGAATGTATGCACCAATTTTAAATGCAGACAAATAATCAAATATTTTCTTAAAAATACTTTCATCCAAGACTTAAAATCAATACACCCTTGAATCCGAAACTGTTATCTTCTGAAAAATAGGAAAATCATTACATATCTCATAGTGTGCTATGCACACTAGACTAGCTCTATAAAACTTTTAGTCCCTGAGAGATATGTTATATAAAATATTTATAGGGGCCAGCCCCGTGGCTTAGCGGTTAAGTGCACGCACTCTGCTGCTGGCGGCCCGGGTTTGGATCCCGGGCGCGCACCGACACACCGCTTCTCCGGCCATGCTGAGGACCCGTCCCACATACAGCAACTAAAAGGATGTGCAACTATTACATACAACTATCTCCTGGGGCTTTGGGGGAAAAAAAAGAGGAGGATTGGCAATAGATGTTAGCTCAGAGCCGGTCTTCCTCAGCAAAAAGAGGAGGATTAGCGTGGATGTTAGCTCAGGGCTGATCTTCCTCACAAAAAAAAGTAAAATAAAATAAAATAAAATATTTATAATTTCTTTCCCTAAGAAAACCTGGTCTTCTGGAATATCAATATTTACTTTGTCTTGGGTTAATAATGGATGAGAGACAGAAAAAGAGTAGTGGATAGCTGAAAGACACAAGGAATTAGAGGATAATGACACCCACCCAAATCTTTCTCAAAACATCCTACAACACCAAATATATCACCACAACCCTTCTACCACTTCATCAAACTGAACATTGCTTTTACTGATAAGAGCATCTACTTTATCATCACCTTTTCCCAGTTACATAAATCCTTTTGAAGGCACAAGAGGGCGAAAAGACACAACGTAATGGTTCTAACTCTAGAAACTGTTACCACTGAAGCTTAGGCTTTTCAAACACATTCGCAATTCAAGCTAGGGGGCCAACTGGATCAAATCCTTAATCAGAGCCCAAACAGCTGACATGCCTAAAATATTCTACAGGAATTCAGGCAGGAATGGCCTGGGAAGATTTTTCTTCCTTGTGATACAAGCCAGGAGAGATATATAAGGAAGCACATAATAAAAGAAACAGCTTTGATTCTGACAGAAGAATGATGCGAGCTGGTTTCAAGCACAGCTAAAATCAGAGGAAAAAAGAGACTGTGCTAATATCATTCAATCAGTGCTAAAGGTAGAAAGAAACTATCAACAGACCCAGCAAGATAGGTTACCCGTTTCTCTCTTGGCCAGAAGAGAGATTAAGCCTGTACTCCTTATCATATATTTTTTAAGGATATAAAGATCATAATGCACCTCAGGTATTATTCATACAAACTCTAGGGATGACATCAGAAATATGAAATCTATTGTTTTTGTCAAAATAATCACTGCTAAGTATCCATCAAATCGCACCCTTCTATAATTAGTCACTTTATCCAATCAACACATTTGTTGAATGCCTACTACAAAGCATGTACCATTTTGTGACATATATTCCAGAAGCTGTCCTTCAGGCAGTAGCCAGAGCTAGGAAAGACTTTCTAGATACCTAAAATTAGGAAATAAGATGTTTTCCTATGAAGATTTTCTACCAAATGTCCTTTATCTTTTTATTTTCATTCAAAACTAAACACCCTCATCCACAGAAGCAAATCCTGAACTTAAAAAAGAGACAATCACTCCTGCCTCCCCTTCTAATTCATTCCTATTACGAAACAAAAAGAAAAATCTCACCTATGTTCTCATCTCTCTTTTTCTTTCTCTAATTTATGCTATAAAACATGGGAGGAGGGGGCAATAGGGAATAAAATCTAATTCATGTGCAAATATCTAAAGTACATAAGCAAAGCTATAATGACAAAACAGAACAGCTGCATTATGGAGAACTGTAATAATATATATGCTAAGATTTACAAAGATAATAAACATCCAAATGCTGAAAGTATGCACTGACTTCAGCAGAGAGGCAGCCTTGAGCCAGAAATACCATGTCTCCAGGATACAGTCTTCAAGAGAAACTAATCTCTTGGCCTCAAACTAATGACCACTCTTGACTGTTGTAACAAAATAAAGTGTTAGGTACTATATCAATTAAAAGACTGGCTTCCTGTCCCACCATACATTTAAAACAAAAAGATCTTATCTGCTTGGGGAATCCAAAAATTTCTATTGGTCCCAGGACCTTGACTCTATTTTTGTCAATTCTGGTTTACTTATGTCACTTTTCTAAATTATTAACCAATGGAACATACTCCACCTCTATCTGCAAGAGCTTGTATACATATGTGCAACTTTCCAAAGCTTGCTTTAAATAAAGCACAAAGTTGCCACCCTAGAAAGCAGGACTGAACTAAGCATCCAACCTTAAAATGCAATTATCAGCCAGAAATTCCTATACACTAAGTTATTTGCAAGATACAGATTTGAGCATTAATAAGAGAAACAATCGTTAGGAGACAGACACAGGAACACTATAAAACCAGGCACAGACTGCAACACAAAGACAAATATAACAGCTTTTACTATCATATTCCACTGCAGTAAGGCATGAAATTTGAAGAATTCTATCCAAATAAATATAGATATTAACCATAAGAAATAAGACTATCAATATGATGTGCTTTAAGAATAGGGATCTAATATTCTCACACTTAATGAACATGAACATGCAATTTACTAAATTTGGAATTTCATAAATAGCAAACTCTTGATGATTTTGAGATTTAACTCATAAATCAAAGCAGCATTACCTCATCTGTCACTGGTTGCGGTTCTGCAAAGTGAGAAACTATGAGTCAACTAATTCTTGAAGTCACATAACAAAATTCTTCTTCAACTCTCTAGTATAATTTTTCGTGTGTGACTTTAACCTAACTTTAAAAAGACTGTTTTAGTCTGAACCAGGCTCCTCAGCAGCATGTATCTTCTGAGACAGTGTTGGAGAAAACCCCTCTGTGTCTAATTTAACTCGTCATTGGATATCACTGTTGCTCCACACAAATCCATTTGGAATAGAATTTCTTTGGCAATG